TTTTTCCTAAATAAAGGTTTATTTCCACACGCTAGTACATCATGTCGAATCCGATATCTCAACTGTACCAGTTGGGAACCACTTGTGGACAGGACATTGAGTTGGAATATCCTGTACTCAAGCAGAAATACAAACACAAACTGCCCTCCGCGAGCCCCACCCAGCATGTCCTTGCGCAAGCGAATAGACCCGTACATGGCCGGGACCACGACGCTGGCGCCCGCCGAGGATACGCTGCGGCTGGCCGCGTACTACGCGCCCATCCAGCCCGGGCTGGCGCTGCACAAGCTGGGCCGCCAGAGCACTGCCACGGCCCCCAACCGGAGGCTGTCGCTGTCGATCTTCTCGCTCCGCAAACTGCGTGAGCGGCCTGCGCTGGCCACCGGTGGCCCCGAAGATCCCCCTGAGCTCACAGCGCCCTCGCGCCTGGACGACCCACCGGACAATGCCGACCAGATCTCACTCGACAGCGTGTCCTCGGGCGGCACTCGGAGTGTTCGGTCCGCGCGACTGCTGAAGCTGGCTCTCCTGGCAGAGCTGCTCGCGCGGCGGTACCCCAGCGTGCTGCTGCACCACTCCGCAGCACTGAAGCCGCTGCTTTTCCACAACCACGAGGCCAAATCGACACGCGGCATGGGCGACGACCTGCGGCACGCCGACAAGCTTCGTCTCGCGGAGCGCACCGCCCGCGCGGGCTCGATATCTTCCAACCCGCTCCTCACTGTGTCTCACAAGGCCGCGCCGCTGTCGCTGGCGTCGCGCGTCTCGATCTCGGGCAGCGCCTTCGACGAGCCGGACGCCTCGGGCGCCCCGCAGCGGCAGATGACGCTCAAGCGGCCCAAGAATCCAGTGGACATCGAGCGCATGTTCCGCGAGCTCATGGATCGGCGGGACTTCCGCTCGCTCCCGCCTGCGGCCCGACAAGAGATGTTGAGTTACGGTGTGGACAAGAAGTGGATGTTGATCTACCAGGACGCACTCAGTGAACACAACAAGCTGCAGAAGAAGAGCAATGCTACGCCAGAGTTCTACACGCGCCAGCTCGTGGCCAAGTCCATTTCCTCTCTGGAATTGGAGAACCTCTGGGTCCTGCTCCGCACTGAGCCCATCGACTGGGTCCGCCAGTTCATTTTCGACTACCAGGGCGATGTCGCGCTCTCACTGTATCTCATCAAGGTCCACGACCAGATCAGCGACCTGGACATCCAGCAGATTCTGGACGACATCTTCAACAAGGAGTTGAATGCCTTGAAATGTCTTCGCTGTATGATGAACCAAAAACTTGGTGCGGAACGCGCGAAGTCCGATGACTCCTTGTACGTCAATGCCATCACAAGCGCCTTACTATCGCCGCGATTAGCCACGAGGAAAATAGCTGCGGAGACGTTGACCTTCATGATCGTCTACTATTGCAAAACGGGGTCAGCTGACACGCTGGCAAAATACCACAGAATTCTCCGTGCTATGGACTCCCTTGCGCTGAAGCCCTATTACGAATTTGTTTTCTCTTCCCTGTCGAAGCGTAACTTGCAGCGCAAGCCGCCCTCGCCAGACAAATGCCCTCGTTTCGAATTGTGGATACGGCTTGTGGAGCGCACCATCGATGGCAAAGGCAAGTACAAAAACTCGTTGGTTGGTGCCAGCGATGAGCTCAAGTTTGCCATGTATGGAACAAACTCATCCACTGTCAGCTCATCATACGTTGAAAACCAACTTCTAGAGTACTGCTTAAGTTCGATGCTTCTTGTAAATACAATTGTCGAGTACGGGCTGGATTTCAGAGTGCGAATGACTCTACGCTCGCAATTTGGAGCTGCCGGACTTGAAGAGCTCATTTATAAGTTCAAGGATTTGAGCTACGAGAACTTGTCGAAACAATGTGACAGGTATTCAGAAATGGCCGAGGCTGACAAATTGGAGTTCAAGACAGCCGAACAAATTGACCAAAACCTAGATTTCAACAATCCAGTTGACTTGGTTCTGTCAATATGGAAAAACGTCCAAGACAACGAAGCGCAAGGCTTTTTCTTAAGTGCGATGCAGCATTTGTATCTCAACCAAATTGACAAAAAAGATGACCCTTCCGAATCCGCGAGAAGCTTGAGGCTTCTTGATGGTATAATACAGAATGTTTCAACTGCGCATACCACGAATGACGATTCTGCCGTCGGTATCGCTATGAATAGGTTGTTTCAAAGCTTGCACACCGATGATATGTACAGAAGTGCTCTCAGTGAGATCAAAACATACAAAAAGATAGCCGAGGAAGCTCTTGCAGAACGGGATGATATTTCCCGACAGTTGTCCATGGGATCCGAGGGTGTCATTGCAAGCTTAAACAATGAGGTCAAGGAGCAAGAAATAATCATGAGAAGAACACGGAAACTCAACCAGGAACTCCAGAAAGAATTGGAAGACGCGAAAAGAAAAAATTTGATTGACAAACAAGAGCAAGAAGCAGAAATGAGAGAGCTCTTGATTATGATCAATAGTGGCGATCTTCAATCTAAGAAGGGCAACGGCAAAACCACCATCTCATTGAACACAACCAACGAGGATTTGGTCAACAAATTACGCAAACAAATTCATAGAAAGAAAGCCGAACTTCGTTTGGATAACAAACTGCTTGGTAGCAATATCGAGCCTTCATCAAGATTAAGGGCCTTGAGGGACCAAATGAATGATATTGAAACCTTAGCTCGTGAGCTAGAGATGACTGACTTCGAAACTTACACCCTTCCAACTTCGCCAAAACTTGAAGCATCAGATCTAAATAGATCTGAAGACAGCATATCGAACATTGAAGATCCTAATGATATTTACGAAGAAACCACAAACGATGAAGATGAAGTTTTTGAAGATACTATCGAGGAGCCAATTGCCATGGGTCCCAAGCGTGGTGTTCGAGATGATGATGTGGGCAAACTCTCGAAGTTAAGAAAGCAACTTGCATCTTTACAAAGCGAATCTAATGACATCATGAAGTTCAATAATAGCAGTCTTTTCACAAAACAAAAATACTTAGCTATGGAACGTTTGAGAGAGCTTGAGATGAATTTCAAAGATTTTAACATCGACTTTGATATCACTGAAGAGAACACTGCACTGCTCAGTGGGTTGGCGGACTCGACAATGAAATCAAAACTTCAAGAAGAGCTTCAAGAAGTTGAACGTCTCAAGCAAGACTTGCGCTCAAAGTTGAATGCTCTTGATGAGAAACCGGTAAAGAAAAGAGCTTCAAGGGCGATATCCCCTGACCCATTGAGCAAACTCGAGAATAAATATGCACAAGGTCAAGTGAAGATGAAGGAGGATGTGACCAGGCCTCTGACTACTCCGAACAAGGATCATCGGTCAAATCGATTGTCTACAATCAGCTCTATGGACCCTAAGTTTTTGAAAGAGTTATCGACGAAGGTCAAAAAGGCAGAAGCAATTGCAGAATCAGAAGAAGATGACGAAGATGAAGAAAGTGCTGATCTGGGTAAGTTATATGAGGTTCAAAAGGGGTCTAAGAACGATGAAACGATCAATCTTTCAACGCCCCCTGTCTCAATGGGAAGTGTGCCGCCGCCACCACCACCACCGCCATTTCCGCAGGCACTTTTAAAATCAGGAACACCATCTTCTCCT